CTTGCTTTCCAATATTTAGCTTTTCGTCCCTGAGTTCATCGTGATGTGTGACACGAAGGCATTCAGTCTAGGGGTCAAGTTTACATCATCTTCCAACAGCTTTATCGCTACGGCTTGGTTTAAACTTACTGGGGTACTCGAGATGTTGTCGTTTTGCTTTTTGGTGACTTGCAGGTGTCAGCAAGCTGTAGTGGCACGCTGGCTGTTCGTTGTTACAGAGTTCATGCTGGCTCAGTGAAGACTGTCCTGGGTCACAAGTCAGTAGTGGACACCTGTGGACGCACTGTGGGCTCTAAATGCCACTGATGTACTCTTTCTTTACCCCTCCTGTAACCATGTGAAGTATTATCCCCACTTTGCAGATGAGAAAATTATGGCATAGAGAGGATAACTAAGTAACCTGCTTACTGTTGTAAGCTGGAGAAAAGAAAGTCAGGCAGACTGATGGTGCTACTTAAACTGTTTTGAAGAGAATTCTCCAAAGTATATTCAGGTAATTTAATTTAAAAATACACTAACATCCCAGTCCCCTGGCCTCTGTGAGTGTAGCGGTTAGTAGTCACTTCGGAAAGGTCTTGCTTCGTAGAGAGCCGTACTCCCTTCCCCTCTCGGGGGTGCTTCTCCCAAGCCCATACATTAGACGAGTGTTGCCTTGGAATCGCCTACACAGTCTGTAAGTGTGGGAACGGGCCCGGCTCATTGCCCTGTCCTTCCATAGATGCAGAAGCCCCCGACTGCCCGACCTCAGCCCAACTCGCAGCCCACTGCCTGGCCTTCTGCCTGTGTCTCGCCTCACCCCTCCACTTTCTAGTGGAGCTACGCCGGCCTTCCGCACACGTCTTTCTATTATTACTTTGGTTTTTTGAGATGGGGTCTCACTATGTAGTCCAGGCTGACTTTGAAGCTTTTGTAGGCCAGGCTGGCTGTGAATGAACACGGTCCTTTTGTCTCGGTCTCCTGGTGCTAGGGTTGCAGGTGTATGCCGCCTCGTCTGGCCCACTTGCATCTCATTTCTGCAGGAGTCTTTACAGTCGCAGTGTCTCCTGTCCAGACGGTTCTTTTTTTTTCCTTTAACAGGTAGTTCTTTGGGTTCTGTCCTGTCTGTTACCTCTGTGGACGTGTCCCCTTTGCAGGAAGGACTTCCTTGATTAATCTGTCTAAAATAAGCTCCTCCACTTCCACTTTGCTTGTAGTACTTGTCTGTCTCAAAGGATGTGTTTCTGTGCTGATGCTTTGCTAGAATCTGAGCTCCAAGAGGACAAGGACTTGGTCTTTTAGTATCTCTTAAACTCTCACCCATAGTCCTCAAAGAGTGGCTGTTTTCTGTCATTCTTTCCACTTGTTTTCGGAACCTGACTTGCCAGTGAGGAATCCATTTTTCTTTCACATCGCTGGCCTCCTGATTCTTTGATTTCTTTTTCTTTTTTTTTTTCTTTCCTTTCCTGGAGAAAGGGTCTTGCTCAAACTTCCGGTGATCCTCCTCTTTACAGTTTCACTAGTTCTGCACTTTAAACAGGCCTGCCTCGCCTTTGACTCAGGTGAGCTTCTTTTAGATGGTACTGACCTGACTCTCAACTTCGCTTAAAGACCCAGAGAAGGTTTTCCTCCACTAACACACGTGAGAAATTACAGTACCAGGCTTCTTGACATCGCCTGCTCACCCCTCTCACATGCCTGCTTGCGAGCCCACGCTTCGTCAGAGGATTACTGTCCACAGTGCCCGGTGGAGCAGGCGACAGATACACACACCGTGGGTATCCGAGACCTGAAAAAGGGAGCTAGCTACTATTACCACTTTATCAAAACCAGTACTTAGGGTATTTGCTGTTGTGATGTTTTTATATATAAATTGGTACACCTCCCCGTGAGTCTGATGGTCCAGAAGGCCGAAATACGGCACTTCACATCCTTTAAAAGTAACCCACCCTTTTAGAATGCGTTTGCAGATTTGCCGACTTGAACTGCTGAAAAGGGAGGTTCTTTAGGGCAGAGATGGAGACAGTCAGGAGCCCCCTGCGGTTTCCCTGAGAATGGGGCACAAGGTAGTTGGGAACCGAGGCTCTGTTGTACTTCCTGGGAGGTGAAGTCTGGTGTTTAACAGTCTGTAGTGCGCATCGCAGTCTCAGTCTTAGAGGCTGGGCGAGGACGGCCACCTTTAGCAGTTCCTTTGGGACCTGGGAAAGGTACCTTGGTGGGAAAAGCAAAGGCGGAACCGTGTGTGTCTGGAAGCGAGCCGCTCAGCTTCGCTGTTTGGGAAGAGGGCTTGTGTTCTTCCGCTGTAGTGCTTTAAAATACAGTGTTTACGAATTTTGATTTCCTCGCCTCCTTTCTACCCAACCTCGTTTCTTCTCGCCTACCTCGGGTGGGCAGTGGGGGAGGCTGACAGGCAGGGGCGGAGGCGGTCCTGCTCCGCCGGAACCGGCCGCAGCTGTCCGCAGCGCCCCGCCACACTCAGGGTTGCAAACTGGGCTGCGGCTTTACTGCCATCTGGTGGTGTTGTGCGGAAACTGTCCTTCTGCAGTTTTCAGTCGTCTTTCCTTGGAAGCGGCCGCCTTCCCCGCTCAGCTAGGCAAGTTCAGTAAGCCCTGCTCTGATTTAAGTGAAGGGAACCCTTAATTTCCTTCTTGGGATACTCTTTCCTTCGCTTCCCAGAAAATGCACTCTTGCGTTTTGTTTGTTTCCGTTTTTGTGCGGTTTCACAGACGCTGTCTGGGAGTGAAGTCGGGAGGAGGTTAGGAGAGATTTCATTGGAAATAACAGCAAGAGCAGTCCCTGAGTTTCCAAGAGGGCCCTGGTGTGTGCCGCATGGCCCCTTGACCCAGAGCTAATTTCAGACACCCAAGTGGGCCACGTTGAGACGTAACCTGTTCCCATCTGAATAGGGGTCTCTTGCTTCCGTCTCCCTGTCTCAGGTCAGTTTTTATCATTCCAGTAATCTGTCACGCTAGAATTCTGGGTGCTGCTGTCTTTTACCCTCCGTAGTCAGTTGTTCTCCGCTCCCCATGGGGACTTTCCTGCACCTGTGAACTTTGTGACTCCATATAAGGTGCCACTTGTTTTCTCTAAGTAGACTCCTAGTCTCTCTGCATCTTTTTGCTTGTTTTTTTTTTAGTGTTTTGAGAGAAAAGCTCCCTATGTAGCCCAGGCTGGTCTTGAACTCACAGCAGTCCTCTTTTCCTCAGCCTCTCGAGTGCGGGGATTACAGCTGTGCACGACGCTGGGCTTCTGGATCACTCTTGACCGTATCCACATGTGTTGTGTATTTTTTTAATGTCACCTTTTCCTCACTGGCTATCCTTGGATGTTGATATGACCCTATAGTTTTAGTGACTAGGTTTCACTCTATTACAGTTTTTAATACTTTATTTTGGTATTAGTGTTCTGTATAAGTTCATTTATCATAAGTGAATTTTAGTTCTTTTCTAGTTTTTCTCGAGGATGCTTAATTTTTTTTGTTGTTGTTATCAGGACCCTAACTCAGGACCACACACTTGCCAGGAAGGGCCGCTGCGCGCTTGATTGTGTCTGTAGCAGTAGTATGTTTTAGGTGTGAATTACCTTACATTCCACTGAACTTTAGGATAACAGCCTGCATATATGGTGGGAACTATTAATGCGCTGAAATTCTTTCCTGAGATTTGAAATTCCACGTCATGGGCTGGGAGCTCAGGAGTAGAGAGCTTGTCTAGTGTGTTCAAGGCCCTGGGTTTGAGCCCCAGCGCCACAAAAAGAAAGAACTTCCATGGATTTGGTTTATCTCTCGGCCTTCTTACCTGTGAAATTCAGCATTACTTGTATTTTAATAGGAAGTATGTTTGTTAAGCATGAATTAAGTTCCATTTGCTTGAGTGTTCCTTTAATAGAGGTTCGTGGATGACAGTTGTGCTGTGTTTGTCAGCTTTTCTCATTGCTGAGAAAATACACCTGCACCTTAAAGGGGGCGAGGTATACTTAGGCTCATGACTTCAGAGTTTGCCGTCTGTGCTCAGCTGGTTCCCAGGCAGAAGCATCTTTGTGGAGGGGAGAGTAGAGCAGGCGGTTCCCTTTGCCTGACCAGGAAGCGGCGTGCAGGAGTGTGAGCTGGAGCGGTCCCCCAGCACAGCCCACTGCAAATCCCCCGGCGTTTTTATTACCCTGAGGTCCAGCCGCCTGTGCAGGTGTCCCTTAGTCCAGCCAAGTTACTTAGGGGTCAGCGATCTCTGTGGTTCAGGCTCAAACTCAGAGCGTGAATTTAACAGGTCTATATCAAGAATGTTCGCACGAGAGTGATTTCTGCTGTGCACGTGTGCACACGTGTGAAAGTTTTTCAGGTTTTATCAGCACACTTGACCCCTCACTCCCAGTGCTGCCCCCTCCCCATGACGCACCCTCACCCTCTAGACACAGTCAGCTGGTGCCCTGGCAGGGTAGGGAGTACAAACTAGGAAGATACACAACTCGTATATCCCTTTGAAACGCTTAGGACCAGATGCTTTTCAGATTTGAGTTTTTGGAGTTTAGAATATTGCATAAACTTTACAGGTTGAGCATCTCTAATGTGAAATGCTCCAAAATGGAAGTTTCTGAGCACAGTGTTAGCGTGCAAAAAATTAGAGATTTTGGAGCTTCTTAGTTTAGGGACACTTAATCTGTACTTTCCTGACAATGGAGTAACAGACCTTGAAAAGTTTCTTTTGGGAAATCTTTGGCATAACTAGTTTTTGAGAATCGAGTAAGAGTGTTACATTGTTATGGTTTATCAGTAACAAAGAAAAATAGAAACTGGGTAGTTGTTTTTTGCCTTTTAGGCTTTGTGCTTGCTTAGAGTAACCTACCTTTATACAGCCACGGAAGAATGTGGTGCGTTCTGAATCATTTCACTGGTGCTCTTTCATTGTGTTCACTCATTTCAGCAGTTAGGGTCAGGAGTGCAGCGTGAAGGGTGACTTGTAGTTATGCCTTTTGCCATTTGTGTTTATGTACGTGGGCTGTAATCAGTTTATTTTATTCTTTCTTCAAAGGGACGTGAGAGATGGCTTTAGAAGAAAAAGTTTCTACTCTTCCCATTATACGAGAGACCGGTCTCCTCATACAAGGGATCCTCCTTTTTTCCGAGACTCTCCTGTAGGCCGAAAGGACTCTCCCCACAGCAGATCCGGTTCCAGTGTCAGTAGCAGGAGCTACTCTCCAGACCGAAACAAGACGTACTCTTTCCACCAGTCTCAGCACAGAAGTATGTATTTGAGGGCTTCTCCTTTTTCTTTCTCAGGCTGCAATGGTTGGAGTGTACTGAATCAGCTTGCCTTATAGGTGTTGTAGTGGGTACTCTTTTCTACTTAACTTTTTAGTTTGAAAATTTCAAACCACATTAGAGCTAACTTATTGAAGTTGGACTCTGCGTGATATTTCATCTTCAGATTTGTCAGTCTGTCAGGCACCTTTGTAATCCTGTCTGAAAGTCGCACAGTCCCATGTTTCCTGTGCCAGGCCAGCCTCTTTAGCCTTCTGTCCCTGGAGGATACCTTAGTGTATCTGATTAGTGAGCTGCCCTGTTGTATATATGCTGTGGCTGTATAGAATTCATAGCTACAGCACACCTTAACTTCATTCCTTTTTGACTTCGAATTTGTGGTGGGGTGGGTAAGGTGGGGAATATCTGTGCTTGGCATTCTGTCACCACAGCTGTGATCCTGACTGAGTCTCTTAGTGTAGTGGAATAAAAATAAAGGTGAACACTTTTCTAGTGAAAGCATTCGTCCACAGTAGTATTCGCTAGACCTTCGAGCCTGCATTGAGCTCATTCATGCAATGTTTCCTTATTCATTCCATGTGCAAGGCACTGCATTAGATTTAAGAATGGCCCTGTCACTAAGGAGGTAGCGTGTGTGTATCTTTCCCACCTGCTAATGACAGCTTTATCAGTGTGTTAATGTATATAAAATGGGACTTTGATACAACTGTAACAGCCTGGAAATGAATTAACATGCCAGGAACGTGCTGTCAAGGGGAGAAACTGACTCTCTGGAGACGGAGAACATGGCATGCAGGACTGACCCTTAGTTTAGATTTCTGTAAGTGCAGAAGTACATTCTAAGCAGAAGAAATTGTAAGGTGGGATGCAGAAGCAGAGTAGTCCAGGGCTTTTTTCCTTTTCTTCAAATGTCCTTTTCATTACTGTGCAAGAGTTTTAACCCAGCATCCTTTGCCTCCTGTGTGATGAGAGATGGAGTCCACCGTCGCCATCCCATGGACTTCCTGTGTGGCTGTTGCGGACTCTCGTGTTGAGCAGATGTTTGACAGGGTACAGAATGAGTGTATGAGTGATCGTTCCAGAGGGAAGGTTGTCACTTGTAAGATGGAAACAAAAATAGCAGCATGGATATCCATGGTTAAAAGGTGTGTCAGACACTTCTGGGAAACTGAAGCTGCACTGTGCAGTGCAGTGCCAGCAAGTACTTTCTCCTTAGTTTTTAGCCAGCCTCACCCTAAAAGAAAGGCTTCAGGAAGATAAACTGAACTATAATGGATGTTCTCATTTGTGGACTCATCCAAAACCAGCCAGGCACCTTTTTGTTTCAGATATGTATGGTTTACGTCCAAATCCATTAATGTTGAAGGGGAATAAAGTATGTTTGGAAACTGATAATGAAGCCTTTTTCACAAAATATAAGGACCATTGTAAAATGGAAAGTTGATTTTTTTCTCTTAGCTTATCATGAAGCTAGTAAAGGTAGTTATTGGTGAATTAACCTTGTTTTTCCATTTGTCCTCTAGAAATTTCTAGGGGGATCATCTTCTTCTTTATCTGCTTTCGGTTGTTGCATAACCAAAGGTGTAAAGTCTTGAGATGGAATGTGAGCAGCCTTGATGTCCTGTTCCCCTGAGGGTTTCCGGTGCACTGCCCCCCCCCCTTTGAGGTTTGATGCCACTACTATCTCGTGTGATAGACGATAGCAAAGCAAGTTGGGATAAACTTAGTGAAACAGAGCATAGGACTTTGCTGTTTCCTGCATGTTTATTTTCTTTAGTCTTTTAATTTTGAAGGTGAAGTTCTTCACAGGATATGGTGCCTGTAATCCTAGCTCTTTGGAGGCTGAGGCAAGAATACCATTGGCTGTAAGCAAGGGGCAAGAGCATGTTTCATAGGGGAGTTTAGGGGTGGGTGTTGCCAAGAAGGGATACAAAACTTTAGGTCTGTGAGTAGGAGTCTAGGGCTAGGTGGTAGACAGGGCGGTGCTGGGTACAGGGGGTTCTGGCAGGCACAGCATGTTCTGTTTTTTTGGAGAATCAGCTCTCTGCAGATTGAGCTCTGTGGGGGCAGCTGCTAGCTGGTTAAGCTGTCTGGGAGGACCTGCCGGCTTCCTAGTGTGAATAACAGGTCTGCTTGGGGAATTTGTCTCTCCTGACTGAGTGGGGGTCTAGTTCGGAGACCTGACAGATCCCTGGGAGTTTCAGGCAAGCCTGGGCTACAAAGTGAGTTCAAGGCCAGCTTGAACTGATTGTGAAACCCTATCTCAAAAAAAAAAGGAAAAAGAAAATTAAGTTCTTTAATCAAGATTTTAAAAGTTTGTTCTCATGAAACTCTCATAAGTTATTTGGGTTGATTTCTTAACCACTTAGGCTGTACTAAGGAAGTATTTTCTGTATTCCTTTCATGTTTTCACAATACACAAGTATTTGTGAGACCAATTTTGCTTTAAATCTGAATCTCAAAAAATAAAAAAATAAAAAAAAATAAATCTGAATCTCATGGATATGGTGGCATCTTCCTTCAAAGAAGGACTGAGAAATTGTCCTTCAGTTGTCAGTAGCTTAAGCTGGATTAATTAGCAGTGTGTTAAGTTTTCGCTGTCTCACACAGTTGGAAATTTGGGAAAGCTGTGCGGTGGTGTTCTGGCTGCTTGTATGTGCAGTGCCTGGAACCGTGCTCAGGGTGTGCACCAGCTTAGGCAAGTGCTCTGCCCCCAGCCCCTAAAAGGGTTTTGTAGATAAAATCAACAGGGTGAAGTAGCAGTTTTCTTATTCCTTAGGCCCTAGTTTTTCAAATTCTTTAATAACTTTTAATTTGTTAGTTTTTGTTCATACTTTTTGGAGTACTTTTACTTTATAACACCTAGTTGTTTGGCCTCGTACCTGTTGGTGGTTTGGCTGTAGTAACTGTTAATAATAATTCTTCATAATTCTTTTTTGAGACAGCCTCTTGCTATGTAGTCTGCAATGGCCTTGAACTCATCATCTTCCTGGCTCAGCCTCCTGAGAATTAAAAGGTGCTAGAATTAAAGGTGTGTGTCACCACTCCAGCCCTAGTCATAATTCTTGTGTACATTTTTTGTATTTTAAAGAGAAAAAAAAAAACAAAATAACAAAGACGAAAACAATAAAAATAATACTGAATTTCTAAACAAGATGATAGGAAATTAACAATGGTTGTTATATTACATACTGTTATCTTCAACAAAGTTGCTCAGATTTCCTGAGATAAGAATGCAAGATTGATCAAACCATTAAAGAGAATTAAAAAAAAAATTAGAAACAATACAGAGCTTCACTAAACAAGATGGTAGGAATTCAACAATGGCTGTTACATTGCATGTTGTTGTCTTTAATTAGTTGTTTAGATTACCAGATATAGACATGCAAAATTGGTCAAAAAAAAAAATTTAAGCAGTAACTCTGTGAGTAAACCAGTAGACATCAACAGTACAGTTATCCCAGCTCTCCTCGTCCATACATTATCCTGTGCACGTTTAACATCTTTGTTCTTCCATGGCCACAGAGTGAACTCGATTCCTTTGTACCTGAGTACCTGTTTCCCCTTTTGTGCTTACATACACTTAGCACACCACTTTTGTTTTTGCAGACAGGGTCTGTGAAATGTTGTGTCACTTCCTTCTCACTATCCTTGTACATGAAACTTGTGTTTTCATCCTGTACTTACAAGACTTTTGTAACTGTTAGTTATCCAGGCTGACCTGGACATGGCTGTGAGTGCAGCGTTTTGGTGTTTGCTCATCCATTTCTACAGGCTCATGCAGGTTGTCCTTAGTTAATCTCATTTTCTTATACTTTAATCATTGATCTTTCATTTGCGTTAATAGCATAAAGGTGACACCAGAGTTCCGCTTGGCATACCCATTCTCTAAGTTCTTCTTGTGCTAAGCTTGCTGTGTTAGAACACAGTCCTTCCACTTTTGTATAGCTCCTCAGCTTGCGGATCTCATGAAGCGCCTTGTCAATGGTTTTCTTGATAATTTTAAGTTGGAAATCATCTCCTTGGTTAAAATAGTGACATAAAGTTTGCATTGCATAGTTTGTAAATCAGTTTTGATGGTAGGGATGGTTATGGCAGTACTTGTGGACTGCATTTTTGTTTACCCTAAACATCTGATAGAAATTAATGTCAAATTTACCAGTGATGCTCATTTATTAATGAGACATGTAATATTTTGGTTGAATTTTTAAAATGCCTTTTTGGGGGAGATTTGTGCATTTATTGCTTCATTTAGCCTATTTTTCTTCAACTGTTTGGTTGTGGACCTTGCTTCTTTCCTGATAGTAGCAGGTCTTTTAAAGGAAGACTATTCATCTGCATCTATTATTTTAAACAATACATATTCTAAGATAACAGTGTAGAAGAATTGAAAATATTTTGAGGGTATATCGGAAGATCAGTGCTCGGCATTGAAAGCTCTTTGTAATAGGAAGGGCTCATGTCTTACGAGGTGTTGGCTGTGAATAAATTTTGAAGTCCACTTGAATTTTTTGATTTTAGGTGAAACCCTAATAAAGTTTTAACGTTTAATTCTGCTGTGGAGCAGACTTTTCTGTGTAGATTTGAAGTGATTGTGGAAAATACACTTTATCTTTAAATCTTAAATACTAGGCAATAAGGAAGGCAGAATAAAACCATTCTCTTGGTAGTTAAAAATAGTGTTTCTTAGATTAAAAGTTACAGAATTTATGTAAGTCTGTCTGTTTACTTATTATTTTAAAATAGGGACTCCTTACATGTCCCAGACTAGCTGTGAACTTAGGCTCCGCTTCCTGTGTCCTGGGATTACAGGTTTGCACCACCACACTCAGCGTGTGTACAATCTCTGAATAAACAAAAACATTAAACATACATATTTGTCAAGCAAATCATCTGCTCTATACCCTGTTTTATTTATGATTTAGTAAGAGAGACAAGCAAATACATGGTTAAATTGGCAGAAGAATTCTAGGTGCTATCTA